GGGGGGAAAGGAGAGGGGGGGGAGGCGTTTTTGGGGGGGGGGGGGGGGCAGCCATCCGGCCATCCGGCCGGCCATCCGGCGAGAGTCCCGGGCGGTCGGTGCGCTTTACTCGCGGTCCTCCTGCGGCGGCGGCGGGCGCGGCTCCCCCGTCGCGCCGGTCCCGCGCAGCGTCTTCATGGCGGCGGCCAGCATGTGGTTGCAGAGGGCGGCGTAGGGGTTCATCCGCGCCAGCTGCTGCCGGGCGAAGCGGCTCCCCAGGCGGGCGGCCTGCGCGAAGTCCTCCCGGGCGGCCTCGTCGTGGCCCTGCAGCCGCCGGAGGAGCCCCCGCTGCACGAAGGCCTGGCGCGCCACCCGGCCGGACCCCCGGCTCAGCTCCAGCGCCGCGCCCAGCGCCTCCAGGGCTCCTGCGGGGACACCGGGGAGAGGCAGGCGGCGAGGCCCGCGTCAGGGCCCAGAGGGGGAGGCCGGGCCCCCCCACCTGGCTGGCGCTCGAGCTCCCGGGAAGCGCCCCTGGGGCCACGCGGGCCCGGCCTCCCCCCCTTCCCACCCCCACTCACCGGCCACGTCCCCCTGGAGGCGCAGGGCCTGGGCTCGGTTGTTGTGGGCGGAGGCCCGCGCCGGGAGCAGCCGGATGGCTCGGCCGAATCTCTCCAGGGCCGCCTCCGTGTCTCCTGCCTCGGCCGCCGCGATCCCCTCGGCCTCCAGCCCCCGGGCTTCTGCCAGCAGCTCCGGCGCAAAGGCGCCTGCGGGAGGGAGGGAGGTGAGAGGCCGGGCTAGTTCGGAGACGCCTCGAGGGCCGCCCAGACCAGACCCCGGCCCCTGCACGACCCCCGCGGCTCACTCCCCATCCCGCTGGAAGCGCCCCCGCGGAGAGGCCGGCCTCAGTCGCCGGGATCCTGCCGCTGGCCGCTGCCGCCCGTGGGGACACCTCTGCCCTGGTGGCCAGGCTCAGCAGCCCCGGCCTTGCGCCACCCCTGGGGCGGCTCACCCTCCTCCGGCGGCAGCGGGGGCGGCTCTTCCTCCTCCTCCTCCTCGCCAGCCGCGGGTCCCCCGAACGGGGCGTGAGGGTGGAAGAGGCACTCCAGGACGGCCTCGGCCTCCTCGGCTGTCCCCATGGCGGCGTGGCGCACCGGGCACTGAGGGGCTGGCCGGCCCCGGGACCGGGGAGGCAGGCGGGAGGGGGCTGGCCCACGGACAACCAATGGCCCGGGGGGGGGAGGAGGAGGAGGAGAGAGGCCAGCAACCTGCCGGGCAGCCCAGGGGGTCAAGGGCCCAGGTCGCTGGAAGGATTGCCGTCGCCCTTTCGACCCGAAGTAGTGTGCAGGCTTCTCTGGACAACCCTGGGAGGGAGGCCAGGCTGGGGTGTGTGTGTGTGTGTGTGACCGGCCCAAGGTCATCCGGGGGCACTTTGAGGAAAGGATTTGGAACTTTTCATTGAAAAAAGATGACTGAGGAGGGGAGACACGAGAGAGGTTTCTCGGTCCTTCATACCAGTAGAACTCGGGATTATGGAGTGGGATGGATGGATGATTAAATTGTGGCCCTCACTACCAGAGGGCGCAGTGATGGCCTCAAGCATTGATAGCTTGTGGAGTCCCGTGCCCACTTTTGGGCACCACATTTGAGGAAGGATGCTGACAAGCTCGAGCGTGTCCAGAAGAGGGCAACCAGGATGGTGAGAGGGTTGGAATCCAAGTCTTACGAGGAAAGGCTGAAAGAGTCGGGTCTGTTTAGCCTGGGAAAGAGAAGGCTTAGAGGGGACACGATTGCAGTCTTCAAGTATCTGAAGGACTGTCATGTAGAAGACGGAGTGGATCTATTCTCTCTTGCTCCGGATTGCAAGACTAGATCTAATGGGTGGAAATTACAAGGGAGTCGTTACCGGCTAAATATCAGGAGAGACTTCCTGACTGCAAGAGTGGTTGAGCAGTGGAACCGTCTGCCTCGGGAGGTGGTGGATGTTCCTTTGCTGGACGTTTTCAAGCGGAGGCTGGACAACCCTCTTTCGGTACGTTGTAGGGCCATCTTTCGGCTGTGCTCCTGCAGAGTGCAGGGGGTTGGACTAGATGACCTGCAAGGTCCCTTCCGACTCGAACATTCTGTGATTCTGTGAAGAGGGGATCCCACCCATTCGTGGAGTGGTTCAGCAAGGGATCCTCTATGTTCAGAGGCAGCCAGCTTCAGTGGGTGACCATGAGCCAGTCACATGCTCTTAGCCTAGCATGGCCTACCCCACAGGATTGTTGTGAGGATAAAATGGAGGAGGAGAGAATGAAGTAAGCTGCTTTGGGTCCCAGCTGAGGAGAAAGGGGAGGTATAAATGAAATAAATATATATCCTGTTTAGAGGGGGCCCTCTGAACTACAAAAACTTAATGTTTAAGATGGATTTTAAAAAGATTATAGAAAACTTACCTGTAACTTGTTTATTGAGTATCTTCTGTGCAGGCACACATGGGGGGGGGCCTGCACGTGAGCAGGCCTGCCTATTGGAAGGTTTTTCTAGCTCAGAGCCTCCAGGGGGCGCTGTGCACCAGAGTGGAGCTCATTCCCACCCAGGGACCACTTGCTCCAGGAGTGCGGCACCCCTACCCTCAGTTCCTAAACACCACCAAAGAAGCATGCAGCGCGGCAGGAGGGAGGGTGCATGCCTGCAAAGACACTTAATGAGCAAGTTGCAGGTAAGTGCAACCCTGTTTTCATCATCTATCTTCTGTCACCAAACTTGACCACTTCTAGCCAGAACTGCTTCAGTGGCTGGGGGGGATGGCTCCCATGGTGGGTGGGGCCAACTGACTCACGAGAGCGGGCTCCGTTTGATCCCTTACGCCTCTGGGAGAAACTCGGCTGGGGAGGAGAAGGCTTAGAGGGAGGGTACGGAGCGCCTGATGTGTCGGCACATCTATAGTCCAGCTGATAGGGGTGCCAAGGCTGACAGGAGGAGGATCTTTGTTTATACTGGGCTCGACTAGGTACACCCCCCCCCCCAAGGACTTCACAGTCTTTCTTTATTAACATCAAGTCTCATCAGTCTTCGATGAAAAGAATGTGGAGCCTTCGAAAGGCAGGTCTTCAGTTTTCTGTCTTTTCTCAGTGGAAAGTGTTGCTGTTTCTAAGGACTGGGACACAGGAGCCATTTGCTCCTCATACATTTTGAAATCCTCAGTAGGCAAAGTGGAGGCGGCTTCTCCTATTTGTTCATCCGGGCTTTGTGCCGAGGCTGACCCATCGGACTCAACCGTTGGGTCTGCATCTCCTCTCTCGAATCCAGGGGGAGGGAGGCCTGCTGGTCCTTGAAACCAAAGGCGCATATGAAAATGAGCTCCGTGAATAGTAGTGACTGCTCAGATCCAGGTGCCCGCTGCAAGTATCGCCCCATTCCGCTAGGTATCCTGGTGACATCCTGTGCAGGTAGGAAGGCCGTCTGGCAGGCGGATGGTGTTGGGGCCACGGAACCGTCTGCTCAGGGTCGACGTCAAACAAGAGTTGACCGGTCAGCAACTTGGATTAGACTTCTCCTTCTGAAACCAAGATTGGAAATAGCCTCCGTTCTGGGGGCATAGTGGGTTTTGCTTGTAGAGCTGGAGTCAGTTCTGGGGTTTGGGCCATCCCCTTGGAGTGGGAGGTGGTCTTTTGCCTATCCTTCCCTTTACCCTTGACTTTCTTGGCAGGCGGCTCCAAAGAGGCGCGTTGCCCGAACAGATCCTCTGAGACACGAGGGCAGAGCCCACCGCATCAAACCGAAGGAAGCTGCTGTCGGCCGCTTTCCAATCGGCTTGGAAGGCGTGGGAACAGAGGCTCAAAGGGGGCCCTCTCCCAAAGCACTGCCTTAAGTTTAGAAGCCCCGTCTCCCAGCGTGCCCCTCTTCCCTGGCGCCAGGCACACACGTGAGCCTGGGGGAGTGGGGGGGGCACCTCCAGCAGCCTAATCAATAACGGAAATACCACCATCCTCTGAAGCAATAAACTTGACATGTTTATTAATTAAACTATCACTTAAATAAAAAAAGTGCATAGAAAATAAACATGTTTAAAAACTCCTTTTTTTTTACAACTATATACACAGATTTTTTACATTCAGTCATTTCTTGAACCATTGAAAGAACTTCCTTCGTCCCTGGGATGGCAGGGAATTAACACTGACGCACTGGAGACACATTTCCTCTTTTGAAAGAAAGGAAAAAAAAGTCCAAACAGTTTGGAAGAACACAAGAAGAAAAGGAAAACAAAACTGAAGATTGGTTTGACATAAGTTGCATTTTGTTTGAAACAGAACCCTGTGTTTGCAGCGGAGTATCTGCACGGCTCGAAACAATTATTCACTACTGACACTGAATCAAAGGAACGCCACATGGACAGTTCTTGGCTGAGAGGCAAAGCAGCAGGATCTGGTCTCGATACCAGGAAAGCGCGTGATACGGCTGTGGCACCCCAACAAGGAAGAAGTCCAAAGGAGGGAGAAACAAGTTGCACAAGTATTGACTGCTCACACGGAAAAGCCAGGAGACTGCCTCGCCAAGGGCACTCCCAGCGGCAGGCCCAGCCAGAGAAGCGCCTCCCCCCCCCAGCTGGGAGGGGGAGGGAGAGGGAGCCTCCTGCCTGTTGAGCAACTGCAACACAACCTTGATCTATAGTGTTAAAGAGAATTCAAAGCCAGGCTTCAAGACACGGTGCATTACAATAGTAGTTCCTATATATACCATATTTATAGCTATAAAACCTTGCAGGTGTTTGGGTGGGGGATGGACCAGCAGTCTAGGGGCAAAGGACATGATTCTGCGCAAAGGACGTCTGTCAGGAGGACCCCGTATTGCTTTGCAAGGGAGGAGGAGGAGAGGGAAGCGAAGGTTAGACCCAGCCCTTTGCTGTGACCCGCTTTTCCTTTAAAAAAATAAACACCTTAAAGGTTTGAGTCTTCGTAGTCTCAGGTATCATGATCTCTGTCAGTCCTTAGAAATATACATTCATGTTGCCGGGAGGAAGCTGTGCGGCGGGGACCCCTCCCCTTGCGCAGAGAAGCAACGCCAACCGGAGTGCCTGAGACCTGCCCCCAGCGCACGGCTTCCTCAGCTCACAGGCAGTTTGACTGGCCATGGTGGCTGCTGCTCACAGCAGCCGGGACAGATTCAGCAGCAGCAAGGGCCAGCGAGCCGGCTCTCCCTTCCCCCCGGGCATCCTGCTCCTCAGTGTGTCCTTCAAGGCATTGGGGGGGGGGCAGCCTCCCTCCCTCGCCCTGCTGCCCGTGTGCTCCCGCGGGTGCAACCAAGAGGAACAGTGGAGGACCCCTCGCTGGCCAGCCTCATCCAGCAGGGAACAGACAGACAACAGGCATGAAGCCACACTGCGCCCGCCCGGCCCCCCCCCCGGGCTGGGCAGCACAGAGCGGGGCTTTCGTGGTGCCGGGCAGCCCCCTCCAGGCAAACGGCCGGAGGGATGAGGGGGAGAGGGCAGGGAGTGTGCTTACTGGCCTGGCAGGAAACTGCTTGGGCAGAGGAGGAAGCTCCACGCCTGAGCTCTGCCCTGGTGGAAGGAGATGCCGGCCCACCCAGGCTGGGTGCTTCCAGAGACCAGGAAGGGCAGAGGCCGCAGCCTCCGGTCTCCATGGAGGGGTGGCAGGGATCTCCCTCCCTCCCTTTCGCCAGGCAGAACCTTCAAGGCCCAGCCCAAGATTCTAGGGAAGAAGGAGCCGCTGGAGAGCTCCCGCGGGGCCTCGGGCCAGCCACCCCCTGAAGGCCCCCCCCCACTCCAGCCAGAAACGGGTCTCTCTTAAATTAGGATGACACCACAGTTGAAAAAATAGTCTCGTAAGTGCTCTTCCCAATGAAGTGCTTCTCATAGAAAAATATACAAAATTATTTACATTTACAAATCCTTAAATATTAAAACTGTAAACAGAACCAAGTAAAATCCAATGATGCAATTCAAGAGGTGGCAACGGAAGGCGGGTGGAGAGGAGATGGTGCTGCTCGGATGTACCCTCAGAGGGGCGCAAGGCCCCCCCCCTTCACTCACACACACGCTCACCCATCCACCCCCAGGTATCACGGCCACCAGGCTTCCCAATCAGCTCGGAGCCCCTGGGAAGGCCTGCCCAGAACCAGCTCGGAGACTTCCTGAGTCCTCTGGCTGGCTGAGCAGCTTCCCTGCCTCGGATTCCCCCCCCCCCCCGGGACGGCCCGGCCGCGTGGGGGGAGAACACTCCTGCTCTACCGGCTCTCCGTCTAGAGGCAAGGGGGGTGCGTAGGGGACAGGAAGGCTGGGAACCGCCCTGCTCTCTGCGGCAAGACTGGCCAGCAGCACCTCCCCCACCTCTGCTCAGACACAGGGGCTGCTTCGGGGCCATGCCGCACCCCCGCCTGCTGAAGCCAAAACAGAGCAACAGCTGAACGCACCCCCACACCCCAACACAGCCAGGCCACGGTTCAGGCGAGGCTCCCAGCGGTGCTGGCCCCTCAAACTCAGCCTCTCCGCAGTGGCACCTGGCTGTGTGTCTCAGGAAAGCCAAGTCCGTGCTCCGGCTGAGGCCCTGTGCCCCAGCCCCAGCGCACTGCCCGCCCGCCCACCACGAGGACCCTCTTCTCGGGAGGGGAAGGGAGTGCCTCGGAGGGGGTGCCCCGGCCCCACCTGCCAGGTGTGTATTGGGCCGAGAGAGACCCCAGAGCAACCGCCGCAGCAGCCGGGCCGGCTCAGTTGAGGAACCGGCGGCATTTCTTGGCGCCACAGTTGCAGGGCAGCTTGTTGCTGGCATCCTCGATGGGGAACTTGTAGTCGTAGGTGAGCTCCTCGCCACGGTAGATCTTGCGCACGGCAAAGATGACAATGTGCTTCTGCCCATCGATGTTGATGACCCGGGAATAGCAGTTGGGCTCGCACGAGTGGTTGATGAAGCGGGCGGCATTTCCGTGCATGGTGGCGTCCACCACCTCTGAGTCGTCAATGCGGAACATGTAGCAGCCGATGCCCTGGGTCAGGAGCAGAGAGAGGGTGGGTTACGCCACTGCTGGGCACGGCCAACCTACCAACACGCAAGAGCCGCTGCAGTGCAGACAGCTCTCCGGGAGGGCTGGCTCCTCCTCCGCAAACAGGCCTTCTCTAGGGCTCCCACAGCAGCTGTGGC